GGGGGGGGGGGGGGGGGGGGGGGGGTCAAAGGTGAAGCAGCAGCAAGCGCCTGAGCTAGAGAGAGAAGGGCGTCATTGCTCTGCTGCTTACAGTCGGTGCGATGATTCATTGTTGCTAAGTGGCAGTTACTGCACAAAGAGCCAATTACACAACGCATCAGACCCCGTGTTTAATGCGCCGGTCACGGCTTTTGTTCGGGCGGGCAAACGGGGTTAGTTAAAATGGAGACTGGCGGGCTGGTAACCTGTAGCATCTGCTGCTATGCGATCCGCACGGCGTTACACAAGCAGAGCACGTACACTACGAGCAACAACAGCAGCCCCTCCCCATGCGGTCCTGAGAGAGAGCCTGTTTAGTGAATTTGGCTGCAGAGATGGGTGTGTGTCATGACGTCAATGCCGTATCTCAGGATAATTTCCCATCTGCCGCTGATTTTTATGGGCGTGATGTGCTGYGAAAAGGTGTCTCGGAGGGTTTGGTGGGGTCTTTGCGGTAAAAAAAGGTATTTAGGTTGCATAAAGAAAAACAAAAACGCGATCTATTCCTGGGGTCTTTCATAACGTTGACGGCAGATGACGCGTTCGGGTCTTTCATCCCCTCCTCCTGCAGCGGCAGCACTCTGTAAAATTCCTCTTGGCTGAATTCTTTCTGTTGCCAAATCCGTCCCAGCTTCCTCCCACCCTCCTCTCGGCTCGTTCTCTATTTTTAGTGCGAGCTCTAATACCCTCCCGCCCTCCCCTGCAGTCCCACTGACCTATTTAACGGCGCACACCGTCGAAAGACAGGAGGAGTGTTTACGGCTCTGCGTCAATTCTAGGTCAGTGGGACAGCGCAGACGTGCGCGTGCTTCCTTCCCGCCCTCCTTTGTTTGCCCCCACCACCACCCTTACACCTCAACCAGCAGGCTTTAATGAAAATTATCCATAATGGGAGGAGGATTGGAGCCTACATTTTTCCACATGTTTGGCCGATTGTGCTCAGATCCCTTTGTGCTCCGGCCTTACGCAAGAGAGSTTCAAAAGAATAGATGAGGAGGTGTTCCCAGACTTTTAACCCACAACTTGCAACATAACAGGTACGGTTGCTTGTTTGAATTGTTAAGGTCAAAGTCTGATTGGGTTTTTTTGTAACGAGAGGTTATGTAATGGGGTCACTGACCCTGGTGGGGTGGGGGGCAGAGAACAGTGTAAACAGCCTGGAAAACATCCACCAATCGAAACGGGAGGTTGTTTTTTTTTTCTTTCTCGTGCCATCTGTATCTAAAAACTAGAATGTTTGAAGGAGATTCTTTGTTCAGCTCTGCGTCTGGCCTCTTTTCAAAGGCTCTCATTGTACAGAGAGACCACGAGGAGGTACTCTGCATCTCCGTTTGCCCAGGCATACCTTTCCCTGAAAAAAAAAAACAACAACAAAAAAACATTGAGGCTAAAGTTGTCAGGAGTATCCCCCAAGATCTGATGCAACCGTTACAACTGCAAAAGAGTTTACTCCAGTTGTTTTGCAGAAATATTGGTATGTAATTTTGGAATGCATGTACTCTTTCAGTGTAAACAAAGCAATCGATCTGGATTATCTGTAGCAACAGAACAAACGCAGAATCTCAAATAAGACATTTAGGTGGAGAGGAGTGAATCTGCTGCTAAATAWAACAGAAATGAGTGAAGAGTTAAGAATAAATATCAAGCAGGATCGCCATAAAAACAGAAGTCTAACTTGTTTCAAAGCTGTCTGCATGTTTAACTCAACAAATCAGAGCAGAAATACGTACAGATACATCCGAGCTTCTCAACCTCAAACAGCTGTTCTGTTGATATCGACCTATTTYCAGTCACTTAGTTGTTTCYGAAGGTAAACAAACACATGGTTACAAATAGGATGCRTTAACCATTAAACTTTAACAAGTCTTTCTACAAATACCTTCGAGTTGGAACTGTGCTTCACTGAATCCATTTTCCAGCRTTAAGCATCAGCGTGTGTAGAGAAAACAAAACAAATCTGACAAGTGGATCAAAGGTCTTTTGCTCCATTTCTTTCCATGAACAAAAACTGAAACAACAGTGTTATCACGTGCACAGTGACCTAGATTACATTCACTCTGGGCGTGTGTGTGTGTGTGTGTGTGTGTGTGTGTGTGTCACTGTGTGTGTGTGTGTGTGTGTGTGTGTGTGTGTGTGTGTGTGCCTGCATCACAAAAAGATGTTTTCACGTCTGCAAAGCTCTCCAGGGCTCAGTGCTGCGATGTGTTATTAATTACTGCATATAAACTGTGCCGGGCTGCGCAACGGGCAGAAACAAGCAGGTCTCAAAAAAAAAACAACAACTAAAAAACAAGAGAACATTACATAACCCAGGTTCGCTGTCAACATCCATGTATTGCTTTTAATTTTATTACGCAACACATGATGGGTGGGAAAGGTTTCCTGTTTGGCTGTAATGTTGACACACAAGGAAGCTCGGCGGTAGTGGTGTTGTGTAATTTTAGACCCTGCGATGGTTATCTGATAAACTGAGACGCCGTTGTTGTAATGAAAGGAGCTCGYCCTCGAAAAAAAAAAGAAGCAGAAATTAGCATCGTGGCCTTCTTCCTACACAAGTCTGCCTCATCCAGACACGACTCCCTCGGCTTTTTGTTTGTCCGTCTCTGTASAGGTCGATAAATTGAAAAATCTTTGTTTTCTGGAAAGGAATTCAGATCATCGTCCGTCTTTTGTGTCAAAGCTACCAACACGCCGAATTTTAGATGTTTTTGTGGCAGCCATCTTGATTCGAATTAACTCCAAAAGTTAATCAGATGAAGATGTTTAATGTTTACTTTCTAAAACTTTAATTAGAAGTCGTTCAGTGATTCATGAGATAAACTGTTTCTCTTTTTTTTCCTTTGTTCTGTCTCAGAATCCCAGTTAGAAGTCAACAGACAGTGACACAGGAGCTGGATCTTTAAGGAGGCCCCAAGACGACCTGCTGACCTACAAATCTGCGTAAAACACCTGGGGAATCAGAGCAGCCACCTGAGAGGMGTCGAAGCTCTGCTGCGAGCCGACAAACACCAATAAACTCAAGACTCCCGGACGACTCCAGAGAGCTCACAGGCCGTTGCAGAGGCACCGCCAAAACTCAAAATACAAACTTGTTCCTTTTTTTCCTGCTTCTTATTTCTTTTTACACCATTTCAATGTCTGAGGTTTTTGTGGAGTTTCACCTTTTTTTAATCTTCCTGGCTAATTTGGACACTTGAAAATTTTGCCTCCTGAAACACAATTAGTAGAAACCAATGAGGCAATTCCTCCGAGGAGCACAAATACCTCATCCAGAAGTTTTTGCTGATCCCGCGACATAGGTCAAACATCTCGTCATTAAAGTAGAAGGCTCACGTTTCACGTCTCTTCCCTCCCCCCCACCCTCTTGCCCTGTGCAAGGGTCATACTCTGGTTCCCAGCTGGGAAAGTAAATGGAAAGTCTCAGTCCACACATCCCAACAAACAAAAGCGTCATGGAAGTCGATTCATTCTCCCCCTACAACGACAGCCTCCCTTCCCCCATCCCTGAAGGAGGCGCTCGGATCGGCCGCCAGCCTAAAGGAGCCAAACCCACCGTCACGTCCCGCCGCAAGCGTGAGTTCATCTCCGACGAGAAGAAGGACGCCTCTTACTGGGAGAAGCGGAGGAAGAACAACGAGGCGGCCAAGCGCTCGAGGGAAAAGCGTCGCCTCAACGACATGGTGTTGGAGAACCGCGTCATGGCTCTGAACGAGGAGAACGTTCGCCTGAAGACGGAGCTCCTTCAGCTCAAGCTGCGCTTTGGCCTCATCAGCGCCTCCTCCTACGTGGAGAAAAGCCAGCAGATCTCCAACAGCGCTGCAGAGGGCAACGCTGGTGGCAACGGGAGCGCCGGCGGCACCCCGAACAGCAACACCTACCTCTCCAGCAGCGGGTACTCCAGCGCCTCCCAGGTGATGCTGAACTCGGACTCGTCTGAAACCGAGCAGTCCAGCCGGGGCGACCGCCACGCAGCGCTCCACAAGTACTCTCCTCTGGGCTCCATGTCCGACATGTCTGACGGCTCCTCCAGAGACAGCCCCGAGCCCATCGGCTACAGCATCAAGAAGGAGCCCTCCAGCATGGAGCTGGAAACCAGCAGGATTCCCAATGGAGTACCAGGTGGCACTTATCATGGCAGCCACCCCGCTCTGGTTTCATCTCACCAGCAAAACGCCCCRTTGGCTGAAAGCGCCAGGGACTACCAGCATCAGCAGCAGGAGAACCCCTGTCCTGCTCCTCAGGCCACATCTGCACAAAGGAGCGTCATCCTGTACCAGTCCAGCAGCGGATGTTACCCCATGGAGACCCAGAGACCGGACGACCAGCAGTCCCAGCAAGGCAGACCGCCACAGTACGCCTGCAAGTACTCCGACTGCTCGGTGACCATCACCGAGGTCGCCGAGAAGCTAGAGAGGACKAAAACMATCGACTCGCCCCAGTATGACTACGCCAACGATCAGGCCGAGTCCTCGGAGGAGCTGCAGCAGGAGTACGATCAGAACCAACCGGACAGTGTCCATTACTGCAGCTACCAGGTGCAGGAGAGCGATCTTCAGCACTCCGAGAGCCTCCAGAACTCGTTTGCCCCAGATCTTATCCACAGTGAGGAAGGCAAGTCCTTCATACAGCACAACGGATACCTCAACACACTGGATGAAGAGCCCCCGGTGCTCACCTACGAGGGAGACCCCCGAGCCGACGGCTTCTATCAGGAGAGCTCCTCCACTAAAGACACCTCCTCGAGCGACGGGGACCCCCGGAGCTCCGATAAGGAGGGGTCCACGGATGACGAATCCCCCTCCTCATCCTCCTCGGACATCAGCAGCTACCACCAGAAGACCGAGGGGGCCGCCGGCTTCCATGGCGACTTCCAAACCGAGGTCAAGGCCACCGCGCTGCCCCACAAGCTCCGCCTCAAGTACAGGGCTCTGTCCAACGGAGCTCAGGCCGAGGGTCCGGTCAACAACTCCATGTCCCCTTCCCCGACTCTGCCCCAGCACCCGTACTTAGCCCTGCCCACCAACCCTCACGCCGGCCAGGCCAGCGGAGAGAACAGGGAGGCTGCCGAGTACGAGGAGGAGCTCGAGGCTCAGATGAAGGAGAGGGCAGACGCTAAAACGGACGGAGGGAAAAAAGGATCCAGCGGCGCCAGGGGTGGACGCAATAAGAGGCGGGATTAGAGACAAACACGAGCAGCTYGAACGCTTTCCCATCACCTCTGCATCACCTGCAGAGGAGGGACTCTTTAAAGTCTGTGTGAGGTCCATTTAGCACTGTTTGAAAACATCTAGATGTGTCTATCACTGTCCAAACTCTCCATGCTTCAAGTCAAACTGGAGGCATGTTCTGTTGAATTCAGGAGGAAAAAACCTCTGATTCACGGATAAAAACTGCACTTCTCAGGCGAGAGGATTGCAGCAATAATCAGAGGCTTTGAGTCAGATTCAGCAGAACAAGGGTCTTCCTGGTTGTGGCGTGTTTTTCTCATTGTGAACCAGGGAGGATTTGACAAATCCAGACATGTTTTCATTCAGATTTCACCACTGAGACTCACTGTGTCACCTGTAACTCTTCACTGTCTCCCACTGATTCCTCCAATCAAAACAGATCAATGAGGGATGGAATAAACTCCACAGTTTAGGAAATCCCCCTAAAAAAATCCATAATTCATTATTGTAAATTGCCTTAGTGTCTGGCCAGTTTTTCTTGTGGCATTATGGGAGCATTCCTTTTACCAAAGACACACATTTTTCCTTTACATTTAGTTTTTCCCCCCATTCTTCCTCTACACTAAACCRTAAACACACAAGTCCTCTTCACTCCCAAAGCACTTAGATTGTATATTACTGTGAAATATAAATTTGCATATATGGAATATATATATTTTGAGAAAAAATGCAGCAAAAACAAAACAAAAAAAAAAAAGAATGAAAGAAGTGGGAAGTAAAAGTTGTAGTTTTACAATCCCAATTCTGAAAAAGCTGAGCTGTTGTGTAAAATGTAAATAAAACCAAGATACAATGGTTTTCAGATGTTTTAAACTCATATTTTATTCACAATAAAACAGCAAACATATCAAATAGTTATGTTACTTTTAGGAAAAAATAAGAATTTTGATTTTATTGCAGCAACTCATTCAAAAAAGTTAATATTTAGTTTTTTCCTGTTTCCTACTTCATAGTTTAACTTTTAATRTGTTTACTGTGTGAAATGTGAGTTTATGAAATTTGCAAATCATTTTGATATTTTTATTTAACTTGTACACAACATCCCAGCTTTTTCCAGAATTGGGGTGATACAAGTGAGTGTTGTTTTTTAAAAAAAACACCTTGTACAGTTCCTCCATGTCTAGAAACATGCCTCAAAAGTTTGTTTTTCTTCTTTTCACTAAAACTGTGAGCCACTACATGTAAAGAAAAGACACAAAAGATAAAAGGTTTCTCAAATTACTGGTTCAGACCGAGGTCGTTGTTGACGCTCAGCGGTCGAGGCCGGTTATGCACATATCATAGCACAAGCCTTTCTTTTTTTTCATTTGACAAAATAAAAGCGTCTTGATTTTAAGACAATAAAGTGTCTCTCTAGTTGCAACCAGCAAAGCTGCTCCCTTTTTTTAAGGTGCCTCTTTATTGTGTTGTTTCTCGTCCCCACGTTGGCCGACGTCGTACTGACCACTCTCACCTCTGCACTGATTTGTTTCAGCAACAATAGCTGCAGGAGATTTTTACAGTATTTAAAACTGTTTTACTTCCTGGTGCCTGCCTCCGGCCACTATGTATAAATGTAAAATTGTCTATCTCTTGTATACTACTGTCTTTATTTTATTATTATTATTATTATTTCACCAATATTATTTTCTGTTATATTCAGTTTTGTGTTTTGTTTTTTTTTGTCACTGACTCGTCTCATTTATGCTCCGTGCTCTTCCTGGTTGTGCTGTGTGTTTACTAATGCTATCCTTTGCCCCGTTTGTATTCTGTGTTACTGTATAAAGTTTGTCTTTTGCCGAAAGGCTTTCTGAAAATTGAAAAAAAAAAAAAAAGTAAACACAGCTTGTTTAGGAGTAATTCTGTACTGGTAAAGATTATGTTGACTTGCGAAAGGCTGTAAGAAAACACAATTTGAAATTGTGAAAGAGTCAAAAATGGGGAAAACATTAAAAGTTGTTGAATATATTAAATGTCCTGATTTTTTTTTTGAGTCGCTTATAAGAAACGTGTTGTGGCTGCAGTAGCTAGGCCAGGGGTCTGCAACCTGTGGCTCTTTGGTCCCTCTGCAGTGGCTCTTTGAAGCTTTGACCAAAGCTAACATGAGATTAATTTTTTTTGTCAGCTTTATCAGTTTTTCTCTCAATAAGTTTGCAAATATGTGACCAATGATAAAAAAAGAGTGAAACATGTTTAYTAAATTATGCTAGCAGCCTGTTAGCCACTTCAATAATCCAACTTCCAGCCTTAAAGTTTGATCTTTCTCTCCTAAATCAGTGTTACATTTAAGACTAAATTACATAGGAATAATACTGTATATACATGCATAGTTCAGTTGTAGTTTTTACTAAATTTGGTTTAGATACAGTATTTTTCTTATTTACATGCATGTTTGTCTTTTGTTCTGAAGTGTAAAAATAATGAAAAACAAATTTGCTATATATTTTTAGTCTTATAATGTCACCCCTACTGGCTGGAAAAGACTCCCTTCAACGAACTCAAACTAGCCCATGGGCCACCAGTTGGTAATCACAGTTGCAGCATGTTTTTTGTCTCGGGACACATTTTACCAGTGAGCCAAAGAGCAGAAATGGCTCTTTTTACCGTAAATGTTGCAGACCCCTGAGCTAGGCGGTAAGTGCTGTGGTCCCACAATCCTGGAGCTACAAGTTTAAGTCCAGGCTGCATCAGAAAGGACGTTCACTGTGGTGATCCCCGCAGAAGGAAGCAGCCAAAAGAAAAACAAAATATGAAGAAATGCATGCACGCTTGACAGTTTCAAAACACAGTAGATTTTAAAACAGGACAAAGGAAGCTGCACCAAAAAAGAAGTGAAATGAGACCTTCCAGAGCAAGAGCAGGTAAACTTTTGTATCTTAAGAGTCATTTTGACTTACTTACAACAATCAAACAGGAAGAGAATGGTGAACAGAATTGCCAACGCTATGATCAATCACATCAAAATGAGGATTAAGTCAAATTTGTTCAAAATGACCTGAACATGTTTTCAGATTCCWGCTTTTTCAGCTACATTTTGATACCTGGATTGACATGAGCAGTTCCAAAAATAACCTTGATTTGTTTTTCTAATCAGGATAACCCATTGATGTTTCTTACTTTGAGGTCATTCTGATGAATTTTTAAAGTGGAAACCTCAGTTTTTGGATATTGAAAAATTTCAGCTTGAAAGTCCGGAGGGGTCTACTTCTGCCCTTTTATGCTTTTTTTTTTTAACAATGACTCAGCTGATGTTTAGTAACACTGCATCAACAAGTATTTCCACATAAGCTCAGTGACAGTGTTAGTGTTGTCCAGAATTGCTCAACATCGTAATCCACTGCTTTAGATAATGTGAAGAGAAAAACAAAACAAGTTTAAAAAAGGCAAAAACAAGTTACAAAAGAGCCTCAAATGTAGAAACACAGCTGAATAAATGTTGAGCAGCTCTCGTTAAGAGGACTGGCAGGTTGGCACWAACAGAACAAGTCACTGCTGTTTCATAAGAAACATGACAGGAAGCAGAATCTGTCAGAGGTGTTGCATTGTCATGAATACACCTTGGTTTTCTTTTTTTTTTAATTTCATGTCAGCAGCTCTGGTTTGAAAATGCCAACAAGGAACACCTTACAAAATACCTTAAAAAAGCCTTTTTCTGAGCATGTTTTCATCCACTTCTCTACATTCTGTCCTTTTGTGAAGCAAATCAATGCTGGATGAAGGGTGTGTGTGTGTGTGTGTGTGTGTGTGTGTGTGTGTGTGTGTGTGTGTGT